ATGGGAGTGTTTCCTTAATTTCTCTTTCAGATTTTTCATCATTAGTGTTTAGGAATGCCAGAGATTTCTGTGCATTAATTTTGTATCCTGCAACTTTACCAAATTCATTGATTAGCTATAGTAGTTTTCTGGTAGCATCTTTAGGATTCTCTATGTATAGTATCACGTCATCTGCAAACAGTGACAGCTTTACTTCTTTTCCTATTTGGATTCCTTTTATTTCTTTTTCTTCTCTGATTGCTGTGGCTAAAACTTCCGAAACTATGTTGAATAATAGTGGAGAGAGTGGGCATCCTTATCTTGTTCCTAATTTTAGAGGAAATGGTTTCAGTTTTTCACCATTGAGAATGATGTTGACTGTGGGTTTGTCATATATGACCTTTATTATGTTGAGGTAAGTTCCCTCTATGCCTACTTTTTGGAGAGTTTTTATCATAAATGGGTGTTGAATTTTGTCAGAAGCTTTTTCTGAATCTGTTGAGCTTATCGTATGGTTTTTCTCCTTCAATTTGTTAATATGGTGTATCACATTGATTGATTTGCATATATTGAAGAATCCCTGCATTCCTGGGATAAACCCCACTTGATCATGGTGTATGATCCTTTTAATGTGTTGTTGGATTCTGTTTGCTAGTATTTTGTTGAGGATTTTTGCATCTCTGTTCATCAGTGATATTGGTCTGTAGTTTTCTTTTTTTGTGACATCTTTGTCTTGTTTTGGTATCAGGGTGATGGTGGCCTCGTAGAATGAGTTTGGGAGTGTTCCTCCCTCTGCTATATTTTGGAAGAGTTTGAGAAGGATAGGTGTTAGCTCTTCTCCAAATGTTTGATAGAATTCACCTGTGAAGCCATCTGGTCCTGGACTTTTGTTTGTTGGAAGATTTTTAATCACAGTCTCAATTTCACTGCTTGTGATTCGTCTGTTTATATTTTCTGTTTCTTCCTGGTTCAGTCTCGGAAAGTTGTGCTTTTCTAAGAATTTGTCCATTTCTTCCAGATTGTCCGTTTTATTGGCATATAGTTCCTTGTAGTAATCCCTCATGATTCTTTGTATTTCTGGAGTGTCAGTTGTTACTTCCCCTTTTTTAATTTCTAATACTGTTGATTTGAGTCTTCTCCCTTTTTTTCTTGATGAGTCTGTCTAATGGTTTGTCAATCTTGTTTATCTTCTCAAAGAACCAGCTTTTAGTTTTATTGATCTTTGCTGTTGTTTCCTTCATTTCTTTTTCATTTGTTTCTGATCTGATCTTTATGATTTCTTTCCTTCTTCTAACTTTGGGGGTTTTTTGGTTCTTCTTTTTCTAATTGCTTTAGGTGTAAAGTTAGGTTGTTTATTTCAGATGTTTCTTGTTTCTTGAGGTAGGCTTCTATAGCTATAAACTTCCCTCTTAGAACTGCTTTTGCTGCATCCCGTAGGTTTTGGGTCGTCATGTTTTCATTGTCATTTGTTTCTAGGTATTTTTTGACTTCCTCTTTGATTTCTTCAGTGATCTCTTGGTTACTTAGTAGCGTATTGTTTAGCCTCCATGTGTTTGTATTTTTTACAGTTTTTTCCTGTAATTGATATCTAGTCTCATAGCATTGTGGTCGGAAAAGATACTTGATACCATTTCAGTTTTCTTAAATTTACCAAGGCTTGATTTGTGACCCAAGATATGATCTATCCTGGAGAATGTTCCATGAGCACTTGAGAAGAAAGTGTATTCTTTTGTTTTTGGATGGAATGTCCTATAAATATCAATTAAGCCCATCTTGTTTAATGTTTCATTTAAAGCTTGTGTTTCCTTATTTATTTTCATTTTGGATGATCTGTCCACTGGTGAAAGTGGGGTGTTAAAGTCCCCTACTATTATTGTGTTACTGTCAATTTCCCCTTTTATGTCAGCTTCAATCTTGATTACTTTTGCTGAGAGCACAGTTTTAAATTAATGGTTACCATTCTCTTTTCTTTTGGCATCTGTTGTTTGATATTGAGAAGTCTGGTGTCACTATAATTGTCCTTGCTTTGTAGGTGATCTCTGCTTTCTCCCTGGACTTTTTAAGGTCTTTGTCTTTGATGTTCTGTAGTTTTACTACCTTCCAGCATGGATTTCTTTTTATTTATCCTACTTGGGATACATTATTCTTTCTGGAGCTGTGTAATCATGTTTTCATCAGTTCAAGAAAATTTGCAACCATGTTTCTTCAAATATTGCCTCTTCTCCATTCTCTCCTTCTGAACTCTAGGTAGATGTATGTTAGACATTCCCTCCATATCTCTTAATATCTTTTTCATATTTTCTTTATTTCTTGTTTCCTATTTTCCTTATCTCCTTACTTCTCTGAACTGCATTCTAGACAATTTATTTGGTTATGTCTTCCAGTTCACTGAAACTCTCTTCAGCCATATCTGAACTCCTGTTCAGCTCATCCGTTCATTGGTTTATGCTACCAATTATATTTTTCCTTTCTAGAGGTACTAGTTACTTGTTCTTCTTTTTATTTTCAGATCTGTCTGTTCACACCTGATAATCTCTTGTTGCATGTTCATCCTTGTAGATAGGTCCCTTTCTTTCCCCTAATATTTAACATATAGCTATTTTACACAGGCATACCTTGGAGATATTACAGGTCTGGTTTCAGACCACCACAATAAAGTGAGTCACCTGAATTTTTTTGTTTCCCAGTGCATATAAAAGTTATGTTTGCACTATGCTTTCATCTATTAAGCGTGCAATAGCATTATGTCTAAAAAATATACATACTTTAATTAAAAATTACTTTATTGCTAAAAAGTGCTAACCATCATCTAAGCCTTCAGCAAATCGTAATCTTTGCTCCTGGTGGAGGGTACTGTCTAGATGTTGATGGCTGCTGACCGATCAGGGTGGTGGTTGCTGAAGCTTGAGGTGGCTCTGGCAATTTCTTAAAAGAAGACAACAGTGAAGTTTGCCTCATTGATTGACTCTTCCTTTCACAAATGATTTCTCTGTAGCATGCAGTGCTGTTTGATAGCATTTTACCCATGGTAGAACTTGTTTCAAAATTGTAGTCAGTTCTCTCAAACCCTGCCACTGCTTTATCAACTAAGTTTGTGTAATATTCTAAATCCTTTGTTGTCATTTCAACAATCAGGTAAGTTTGCCATCTTATATGAGCACAGTTCATGACACCCCCAAAACAATTACAATAGTAACAGCAAAGATCACTCATCACAGATCACCATAACAAATATAATAATGATGAAAAAGTTTGAAGTATTGCGAGAATTACCAAAACATGATGCAGAGACATGAAGTGAGCAAACGCTGTTGGAAAAATGGCGCAGATAGACTTGCTCAACACAGGGTTGCCACAAACCTTCAATTTATAAAAAAATGCAGAATCTTTGAGGCACAGTAAAGCAAGGCACAAGAAAACAAGGTATTCTTGTATTCTATATCTGACCATTCCAATATCTCTCCTCCTCGAGGATCTAAATCTGTTTTTTCTCTTTCTGATGACTCGCATAGAAGTTTGCCTTATTGTATGTATGTTTGGTGATCTTTGATTGTAAGCCTATTGCTTGTTCAAATCAATGGAAGCCTTGGGGGCCTAAACTGGAAACGCTTTCCTCCAGGAAGGGTTTGTTCCTTGTTCTACCAGCTGCCATGGAGTACCACTGATCTGGGTCTTGGCTCCCTACAGAATCCTAGGCTCAGCTCCTCTAACTTGCTATTGGCCCAAGGCTCAGAATCCGGCCGTCAGGCATTGCAGCAATGGCATTTACCCCTCCCACTATTTCATTCCGTCCTTACTTTGCCACCACTCTGGATGCAACTCACAGGGTTCTTTTGTGTGGAGGGGAGAGTGGGGATGGAAGTGGGAAGCGTTCTTGGGAATTTGCATTCCTTTTGTGAAACCAGTAACACTTCAAGAGGTGTGCCCTAGACGGGATATGTAGTTGTAAGAAAGTCTATGAGTGCCTAATCAACCATATTTGAAACAAAAGTCCCCAAATTTTTATGTTTTATTATGTTAACTTTCAAACATGAGTAGAGAAAACAGTGCAGTCAGTTGAAGTAGAGAAAAGTGGAAAGAATAGTGAAGTGATCGCCCACATACCCATAAGCCAGGTAGAATTATTGTTAATTCATGGTCACACTGGTTTCATCTGTATTTGCCCTACTGCCCACCCCCCTGGATTACTTTAAAGCAAATACCAGGTGCCTTATTTTCTTTATATGCATTTTAGTGCGTACCTCTTAAAGATACAATGAGCTTTTCATGATGAAGTCAGGTCAATAAGTAAACGTGCACAATTCATAAATAAGAAAGCAAAATTTTACATAACACTATTTAAGCATTGGTTCTCGGTCACTTTTTCTAGTTGAAGTATTACAGGACCCTGAAATGCCTACCACGTTATTATTAAAAGTTTACAGTATGTCTAATATAAATTTGTTGTTACACAGATATTATATCACAATTCTTTGAAAATCAACAGCCTTTGTATCATATTTGGTAGATAATAATGATAATAACAGCAAATACTTAAATGGTACTGACTATGTGCCAGGAACAGTTCTAAGCCCTCTACATGTATTAAACTCATTTAATCCTCATAACAATCCTATGAGATAGATACTGTTTTCATCTCCATTTTACAAATGTGAAAACCAAGACATGGAAAGTTTCAGTAAGTTACCCAAGATCTTAAAGCTAGTATAAGTGATGAAGCAGAGGTATGAACCCAGACAGGCTGCATCTAGAAGTTGTAGTTTTAAACCACTATATACACACTGCCTCTCTCAGAAAAATAAGCAGATTTCTACAGCCATCTTTCAAAACTGTGTCTTCTATAAGTTATGTGTATCTGTTTTGGTGAGTTTACCATGTGAGCCTAACTTGTACCTGGTTCTGAAATATTGGCCTTCAGTATTTAGCTTAATTTTTTAAAATTACTTACGTTGCTGCCTTTGGATTTTATTATTATAAAAGTATATATCATTTCATGTTTATAATTTTGTGTAATTTCTTAGGTACACTTCATGTCGGAGATGAAATTCGAGAAATCAATGGCATCAGTGTGGCTAACCAAACAGTGGAACAGCTGCAAAAAATGCTTGTGAGTAAATGAAAGTCTTTTTCTAAGATTGACTTTCAGTTCATTAACTTATTTATTAATGCACAAATAAAGGATATTCTTTTATAATCAGAGTATCTCTGGTACCATCATTTGTGTGGACTTGAACTTATACAACATTCATAAAAACTGAGAGCTAGGAAAATGTTCACATGCAGCAGAGCTTAGAAACATTTTGCCCATCTTTAGCAGTGTGGGCTTGAACATTCTCCTTTCAATCCTTTGTCTCCTATTTCTTATTGAGCAGATGTTTAAAGAAAACCTCTGCAGTTGTGCATGCTTGTGAACTAGTTTCTCACTGACCTCAACTCTGCTGACATCAGCAGTGTCAGAAGCCTCTTTCCTGTGTAGCTGAGTCATAGCCAGCTGTATTCCATTTCTCTACAGCACAGGGGAAAGGAAAGTCATAGTAGACCAGGCCATTTTTTACCATGTATATTCAAAAGCTGTGTTCAAATTAGGCTTTGGATTGGGGCGGGGTAGGGAGTGCAGAGTGACAGGCCCTGGCGAGCAGAGGGAGATGTTTTGGACCTCTTGTCCTGGACCTTCTTCCCACCACAATGTAGCAGCCTGCCACGTTACTTATATCTATTAAAGGTGAAATAAGCACCACAGACTCACTACAGTCAAAACTAATGCCCAAATTATGAAATAAAGAGCAGATTTTTTTTTTTTTTTTTTTTTAGCTGTACGTGGGCCTCTCACTGTTGTGGCCTCTCCCGTTGCGGAGCACAGGCTCCAGACACGCAGGCCCAGCTGCCATGGCTCACGGGCCCAGCCGCTCCGCAGCATGTGGGATCCCCCCGGACCGGGGCACGAACCCATGTCCCCTGCATCAGCAGGCGGACTCTCAACCACTGCGCCACCAGGGAAGCCCTAAAGAGCAGATTTTTATGGAGTACACCATCATAATGTAGCCTACCAAATATAATTCTTATGTAATTACTTGTTCTCTTGTACAGTTCAACTTACATTCGCTCTTGAAAGGCATGTCACTTAGAGTTGTATTCGTGTCTATGAAAAGGTAACCATCAGAGGTTTGTTATGCCTTTGCTGTATGACCAGGACAGTCAGCCTTGACTTTGCAGGGCTTTTCCCAGGAATAACCTCCACTGTTAGTGTGAGCAGTTCCTGCTTTTATAACTAGGTTTCATTGTAGGCCCATGCACTCTCAGCTGACTTGCATTAAATATGCCCCCACATTTTCAGTGGTTTCTTGCGCGTTTTTGTGTGCAACATTTGTTTGTTAAAAGAGCTCTCCTTTTTTTTTCCTCCAGCGGGAAATGCGGGGGAGTATCACCTTCAAGATCGTGCCAAGTTACCGCACTCAGTCATCGTCCTGTGAGGTAATAGCTCTAACGAAACACCCCGTCTCCTCTGGGTTCTTAACTAACTGTCTGCTGATGGCTGAATGTTTTGGCTTTCTGGGAAGTTGTTTCTGCCTGTGCTGTTGATCACTGCACACCAATTTTACAACAAAGATAACGGAACAGAGTAGGTCCCATCCACCTACTCAGCCCTGCTTCCATGGAGATGTCCTCAGCACTTTAACTTTCTGCAGGCTGGAATCAAAACAAAATACATATAGAGAAGCTCCAAATAATGACAAAGGCTTAATACAGAACAAATAGAGTCTCTGGGGAAAAAAAAGATCATAATTGCAATAATATTTCCAGGAAGTACATTCACTTCCCTTGTTAAGAAATCACATAGATAGTTCTTCTTTCCAAGGATCTGAGAAGTGGTCTATTTCTGTTAAGATGGAGTAGTTCAGATAATTGTGACAGGTCTCTAGATGATGTTAAGTCTATGAGAAATTGATAACTGATGTTATTAGAGGAATATAGGCTTTTGCAACCTTCTGTGAAATTGTTTAAACTGGAATGTTATCTGATTCGTAAACAAGTTTTCTAGAGTAATACAAACCCAAAGTTCCTTTCTTACAATAGGCTTATCCTTTAGAAACTGTAGCTTTCCCAACCTATATTATTCAGTTTGCTATTGGTTAGTAAGTGAGATTCAAAAAGCTATTCTTTTTATATTTGGAAATATGAGCCGGCCTAAATGGTGTCATCCTTTGGTCATTGCACATTCAGTTTGAATATTTTTTTCTGAAGCTTGTTCTTTCTTGTGCATCTTCCAAGTATGTGTACATCAATATGAAGTACACATTTCCTCCAGTTAATATTTAAGACTGGCAGACAACTTATTTCATCTAGAAGATTGAATTTGTACTTAGGAGAAATTGATGGAGAAATTATAATGTTTCTTCCAGTCTCTAGTAGTGATGTAAATTTCACAAGAAAAATCAGAGGCTTCATGTTTTTTTGTAAACCTATTGAAGATATGTATAAGAATTTGTAGTTCTGTCAAGTATATTTTTAGTGAGCCGTGACAATTGGGGTTTCTGTTATATCAGGTCTTGAGCTCCTCTCGGTGGCTTTTTATGGAACTTCAATTAGTACTATATTTCAAGACAAAATATAGAACTACTTCTGCTCCAGGATTTATAGTTTTGAAATTTGTTACCTAGTACACAAACCTTACTGGAAAAGAGAGATTGTCACATGCATTTTTATGTAAAGCATTTTGATAGTCTAAAAATCACAGGTGGTCCTCATACCATTTCTCATCTTGGAAGAAATTTAGTAAATACGATTGATTTTTGTCTTTTTGGCTCACTAACCAGAAAATAGTGGTAGTTATTAAAAATTTTCTCTTGTGTTTTTGAGTGGTTGAACTAGTTTTGGGGTGGGACCAGAATTACACATATAAATGCTATGCTCTCGAGTAAGAAGAGCCCTCTCTTACCTTCTTTACCTCTGAAGAATAGGAAAAAATGTACTCCCCTCCTAGCCCTACCCCCAATCTGTCTGACTCTCCTGTGCTCTGGCAGAATTCAAGCCTGTGGTTGGACTCTTCCCAGTTACAGCAGTACTTCCCAAAGAAAAGCTCTCTGGCCACCTTCATCAGCATCCCCCTGGCCGTTGGTAAAAGAGGGGGCCCCTGCCCCACACCCTGGCCCTACTGACATGAGTCTCTGGGGGTGGCGCCTAGACATCATTCTGCTCACTAACATCTGACAATACTCATCTAAGGGATCCCATTATTTAAAGGCTAACAGGTTCCGGAGGTTTTCTTTAAGTTTTCTAGAAAAAGCAAATGTCTTTTGAGCAGACATGCACATTTCAAAGGTTTCAAAGAACTCTACTAAACCAAAAATTTTTAAATACTTATTTTCATCCCCTCCTTTTTCTAACATTAAAGTTTATTTGGACAATAAGGGAGTGGAGCCTGGAAAGGATTTTGAGCATGTCACATAGTATAGTGGTTGTGGCTGCTGGGATCTTTGCCAGAATCTTTAGAGGCTCAAGATTATTGTTTTAATTAATCCGCCAAAATAATCTAAAAGAATAAAGGTTTCTTCTCTGGTGTATATCTTTTACCCTTATTAGTAATATCCATCCTAGAAAGATTCTAAGGTGATTACAACATGAGAAGTCTTTGAGATTCACTTCACTTCAAATTGCATCATTCAGTAATTTTTGATACCGAGGTACCTAAGGATTATTAAATACTTTTCAAACCTAATTTTCAATAAAAATTAGGCAGTTGGGATCTTCAGCACAATAATTTTATAGTAATATTTGTCATTTTACAGTACTTGATAGGATTTTAATATCAAGTCACCCTTCGGGGTCTTATTTAAAGAAAGCAAAGGTTATAGAATGTTAGAGACAGGAAAGAAATGGTTAATGAATGACATGGTCATCACTTACTTACAATATGTGAATCTTCAAACTGTAAAATTTTTTTCCATACTTCTGTGAAATCATGCAAGTAAGTCAGTATGGCACCTTTATAGCTAAAACCTCAAAGGAAATGGTTGTCAGACTGTGGTTGTAACTGTTGATGTGAATATCTCTGTTTCTGTGCTGGTGTTCTGTGTTAATGAACCTTGTGTCTTATTTCAGAGAGATTCCCCCTCCACTTCCAGACAGTCCCCAGCTAATGGTCATAGCAGCACTAACAATTCTGTTTCGGTAAGAACTCTAGCTCCACACAGCAAAGTGTGACAATTTTGTTGGTGCCACCTGCCATGAGTGTTCTAGTTACATGTGTTCAGTGGAAATATTGTCTTCTGCCGATATACAAGGCTACTACAGCTACAATGCAGTTTACTCCTGGAAAATCTTTTTCAACATTTTCTTCTCATTAAAAATGCCTTTCATTAGTTAAATTTGAAGAAATGTAGTTCAAGACTGCTTTGGTCATTCTCAAAATATTTCTCTGTCACCCATCTACTATTTATGACTTTGCTCAAAGTTATGCAAAGGATGTATAATGGAAGTTTCTTGAAATTTCTCAACATTTTTTTTGAATTTGAGAAAGATAAAGAAATGTAAGGATTTTGCAGAGTAGGCATTTGGGTATTCTCGGGCTTTGTAGTTGTCTATTCTGAGTGATATCAGCAACATGTTTTAGTTTCCGCTATCTAAGTTTACGAATTGGTGTGCCCTCTGTTATTGTGGTACGTGCACATACTTTTGTGAACTATAAGCCTTGCCTGGATATAAACAGCAAAAGGAACTGGCTTCAAACTGCACTTAAGCCACGCTATTATCACATCTTTAACACAAAGTACTTTATATTTTGACTTGAACTTGGAATTTTACTTTTTTTTTCCAGAACTATCCATTTTGGAAAGTAAAAAGAATTGTTTTTAATTTAAACAAATGGGAGCACTTAATACGTGCAGGTGTGCAATATTTGGGGTAACAAAATCTCTAAGTTGCTGATATTGCTGTTAAAAATATTGAGAGTTCTAATAATACAGCAGTATCACTTTTTTCCTATTAACTTGCCCTTTAAAAATATATCAACATTTTTATCAAATTTTTAAATAATTTAGAGATCACCTCAAATGGAATGATATAAGAGAAATTATGGAAGAAAATTTCCTGAGACTTTTATTTGCAGCTTCAAAACAGGCTACCAAAGGAATTCATTTATAACATTTAATAACTTTAAGATGGTGAAAATCCGTACAACCATTGAAGTTTTCGAAATCTAAATGGTTGCAGTGACTAAGTTGAAAAGGGCAACAGCTCTTTTGAGTTTGGGGGGGTTTTTTAAATAGGCTATTTCACTTGCAGTGGCTTTTGTGTTGAAGATGCTGAGTGGTTTCTTAAGAACACATTTTCTCTCTGCTTAAACTTACCTGCTTTCTTCAGCTTGCTGCTAAATGGCCTGGGTTTGATTTTTTTTTTTTTTTTTTGATAACTCAACATTTCTGAGAAATGGAATAATGTATATTATCTCTTTACAACTTAAATCTAGCTCATTTTTTAACCATATTGTAACAGAACACACAAATTACCTTGTACTCTTTGAAAAGTAAATGAAAATTTTTCTCCTGGGTTGGCTTTATTCTACAGGACTTGCCATCAACTACCCAACCAAAAGGACGACAGGTGAATAGATACCCTCTATAGAAACTTCTCTAAACTGAGCTGCTAATAGCCAATCCTTTATTAACCCTTTTCATCCCATAATGTCTGCATTTTGGACCATAACATTTGAGCATTGAGAGCTTGTACCATTTCATTTTAACACATTACACATGACTAATTCTCTATAAAGATTTTTTTCCTAACATCTTTGTAGCTGTGATGGTTATTGTAATTTCAACCTGATCATTTTGTGTTGATGGTTGAGAATTCAGCCTTTGGGGATCTTATGGGCCTGCCTCTGGGGTGGAAAAAAATTTTTAAAGGTTACAAAATTCTTAGAATTCTAAGAATAACTACAACGTACATGCCAGTGAACATTTTTACGCAACAATTATCTGAAGTTTGAAGGCTTTTTCATAATTTGTATCTGCATGTGTATTTCTAAAAGCCATATACAATGAAAAAAAAAGAACAGAAAATTCCTGGCTTTACAGCCTAATCAAACATGAAAAGTTAAGTGCTGCCTAACACAAGCAAGTAACTTTCAATTTGCTGGCACTTTGAGTATGAATTTTAGGTGCAAATGCAGAGACTTGTTAATTTTATAGGCTGGATTTCTGAAAAGAAACTTAGAATAATCAATAGTTCCAAAGCCTTCAGGTTGGTTTTACAGTGACTTAAACATTAATATTCAAATTTAATTTCAAGAGATAGAATTTTTATGGTACTTTTTGTGAAATGTGCTATTAAAAAATATCAAATTGTGAGTTAAGATTTGCATAAACTAGCACCTAATAGAACTCACCCATAAGTGATGCAACAATATCTAGCACCTTATTTTAAATCATTTAGAAATCCAGTGATTCATAAAATGGTACCATATAACCCCTTGTATGCTAATCTGTTTCCTTTTATAATATTTACTAGCTATATTCACATATCATAAAACTCAGAGCCTTAAACCATGCATATCTTGAAGCTCTGTGCAGATTTCAAGTGTTACACTGGCAAAGCCAAGATTCAAACTCACTTTTCTTCTCTAAAAAGAGTAAAATACAAAGTCTAAATCCTGTTTAAAAAAACTATTTTTAAATGCTTTAAAAAATTGTTTGAATTACATTTAAGCTTATCAGCAGTGTGTAGACACACTGCCAGTTGTCATGTAAGCATTTTACAGCAAGATACCAACACGGAGTTCTTGCTAGTTTTGTATCATGTACTGCTTTAGGGTTAAAACCTGTCCTGAATGCTTGTGGTCATGGTTTAAAGGCTGCCATGTGATCATGACAACTTATGCATAATAGCAACTAAATATATTCAGATTTTAAAATGGTAAGCATACTTCTCTATAATTTTAAGCCTATCCTATTATAGTAAAGGCAGAAATTAAGTCTATTTTTACTAAGGAAGTATCTTAAGTGTTCCCTCCAAATAAAAAGAGCAAAGACTTGAACCTGTACACACCAAAAGTAGTACATTGTTTCTAGTGGTAGCTGTTTTTTGTGTTGTATTTCCATGCATCATATTTGCTTTCACCATCTAATGTCCTGTTTGTATTGTAGTAAGTGTTGGTATGTGGTTATTAAGTTAGAGCTGACTGTTTTCTTTCACATCACCATGGCATTTTTTCTTACAAACTCCTGTTTTATAGATCTATGTAAGAGCACAATTTGAATATGATCCAGCCAAGGATGACCTCATCCCCTGCAAAGAAGCTGGCATTCGATTCAGAGTTGGTGACATTATCCAGATTATCAGTAAGGATGATCACAATTGGTGGCAGGGTAAACTGGAAAACTCCAAAAATGGAACTGCGGGTCTCATTCCTTCTCCAGAACTTCAGGAATGGTATGTTTTTGTTGTTTTCTTTTAGTTTCCAATAAAAATGAAGCCTGGTCATCTATTTTTCAGCTTTATATTTTATTCTTTTATAGGGTAAAACCTGTTTAATATATTCCTTGCTCTATTAGCCAAACACAGTTCAAATTAGTCATCCAAGAATTCTAAATTGTCAGCACCAAGTAAGCTCCTGCTTATAGAGTCAGGTCTTTGTTTCACACATGAGGAGAGGAAGGTCTGTAGAGGGGCTGAGCGACTAGCCTCAGGTCATGGTCACATCGTGGTCTCTTAGCAGAGCCCTCTATTCCTATATGCTGTTTCCATCCTTTTAGAATTGCATTTTTTTAAATGTACCCACTCCTTGCCCCTCCACATGCTCTCACCACCCCCATTCCACTCCACCACCAGCGAAAAACTCAAATGGCCAGGATTCACGGTCATTCCAGGTATTTAAAGAGAAAATGTTTCACTATTAGAAGGATAAGATAGTCAGAAGCCTCGTTCTTTACCTTTCCAGGTCTTTTTTTTTTTTAAATAAATTTATTCATTTATTTATTTTTGGCTGCGTTGGGTCTTCGTTGCTGCGCGCAGTCTTTCTCTAGTTGCAGCGAGCGGGGGCAGCTCTTCGTTGCAGTGCGCGGGCTTCTCATTGCTGTGGCTTCTCTTGTTGCAGAGCACGGGCTCTAGGTGCGCGGGCTTCAGTAGTTGTGGCACGTGGGCTCAGTAGTTGTGGCTCGTGGGCTCTAGAACACAGGCTCAGTAGTTGTGGCGCACGGGCCCAGTTGCTCCGAGTCATGTGGGATCTTCCCGGACCAGGGTTCGAACCCGTGTCCCCTGCATTGGCAGGCGGATTCATAACCACTGCACCACCAGGGAAGTCCCCCTTGCCGGGTCTTTAAAAATGTGTGTCTGTTAGACAGTTCAGGCTTTGAACGCAGGTTAAAGTCAAACAGTTTTTAGACATGTTTTTAACTGAGAGGAGTCACGGATTACTGTGTATTTTGGTAAAATCTATTTCTGTTACTAATGGTACAATTTGCTGTTTTTTGAAAAATGTCAATAGTTTTACCTTTGTCAGTACTTTGGCAATATATATCAGAAACCTAGTGCAAAATAGATAACTTCATGTCCAAAATACTTGAACCTAGCTGAAAGAGACCAAAGGCATAGAGTTCATAGACACGTACAACTTTTCATCCTTTTTTTTCACTAATTAAAGGGATTTCTCAGCTAACCTCTTTTGCTTGATCAGTTCTTTCAGCTATACTCTTAAATTTAGAATGTCAGAGCTGGTAAGAACTTCAGATGCCATCATTTTACACAAGGAAACATAGGCCTAGTTAGAGGAAGTAGCAGCCTTCCATCTGATGCTGTCTTTCAAGTCTCATCTTCAGAAAACAGTTTAAGCATTAGTGAGAGGAAAGTGATTTCTAAGTCATTTTGATGGTGATGTTACTATGTTATCACTGATATTTATGTTTTACAAAATGTGTTATTGAATGCTGCCATATATTAATGAGCATTTGTTGAAAATAATTATGTAGAATCCAGACCTCTTCTCCCTAGTCAGCTCATTTGTATAAATCATGTCTCACCAGTACCTAGAACTCTGAGTCCTCTGGAGGAAGCCTGAGAAATGGCAGGGGGAAAAGCAGATTTGCTTCCTGTTTCCTGTAATGGTAGACTAGGTTATTTGGATCAATTCTCCCACTGGAAAAGAAAAATGAAAAGTGCTACAGAAAATATGTTTTTGAAAATGACCTTAAAAGTACTGAGTAGCTGAAAAGGTATTGGGGAACTCAGTGACCAATTTTTATATGAAAGCCATTAATCAGAAAAAATTAGAGTACCAAATTGGTCCATTTTGCCAGGAGGGCATTTCTATTACTAAAAACTTCTCTGCCAGAGGACCAAGGTTAAGACCTAATAAGGCCTGTACAAGTAGGAGAATCTTTTAGGAGACTCATCCCGCATTGTCAGGATCTGCAAAAGGCTATACCCCCAGGTTAAGAGCAAACAGATAAGCATCCCCTCACTGCCCTTCCATACCAGGGGACTGTAGAGAAGGCTGCCTTGTCGGTGAGCAGAGCAAAAGGAAAGCAAAGTTCCCCTGAAAAAATTGTGGCCACTGGTCCACCTTGAATGGATTTGCACCCAGGTACACATAGCCCGGGACAGCCAGGGAAACTCCAGCTATGTGCTTGATGTGAGGTTTCCCCCTTACTAATAGTTCCAAATATCTGTTATAAACAAATGAAAGTCTCTGAAGGCGAACACTTTTATCCTAGGCCTCATCCTAGAGCTCCTCCTGATCCCCCACGTAAACTTTCTTGAGGGCAGTTACCAGCAAGTCAAAATAAGCCGGCGCACATGGAAACCAGTGAGACCTGGCAGAAATGAAAGACGCCAGGAACAAACTCAAACCTACTTCATATATTGGAATTAGGAGACAAAGGTTTTTTGTTTTTTGTTTTTTGTTTTTTTTTTTTTGGAGACAAAGGTTTTTAAACAACTGTGCTTATTAGCAAGCTTTTAAAAATCAGTAAAAGCTTAAAAAATATCTTCAGAGAAGAGGGGAAAAAATTTAATGGCATAGCAGATTTGAAAAAGAACCAAAATGAATTTCCAAGGACAAAAAATGCACTAACAAAAACTCAGTGGCCACACGCCTATTAGAATGGCTAAAATTTTTTAAAGTTTTCATCAGCAGGTAAATGGATAAACAAATGATGGCATATGCATACAATAGGATGCTCTTAAGCAATAAAAAGAAATGAACTATTGATAACACACAACAATATGGGTGAAACTCAAAATCATTAGGCTGGGTTTCCAGGCAAAAAAGAGAACATACTGTATAACTCCATTATATAAAATTCCAGAAAATGCAAAACTAATCTACAGTGACAGTGGTTTCCTGGGGATCTGGAGGAGGGAGGGAGGGATTACAGAGGGGCATAAGAAAATTCCTGGGGTGATGAAAATGTTTGTTATCTTGATTGTAGTGATGGTTTCATGGGATGTATTAATGTTTCAAAACTGATGAAATGTTACACTTTATATGTTATGTTCAGTTTATTGCAGAAAACCTGAACTCAATAAAGTTGCAGTGACCGTAGAGGGAGACGGGGATTCTAACTAGGATGAAGAGGAAGAGGCCCACTGGGCAGTATGTTCCTTGAGACCACAGTAGGACTCTGGAGGTATAGGAAGGCATTCCCAACTGAGGGGGAAAAGCAGAGTCCCTTGCTGGAAAAGTGAATTGGTCTCTAGAATGTCGATGGACGTGTAATACTAATGAGAAAGATTTGAAACAATACTATCAGCCAGACCCAGAAGCTTTGTTCAGATGTGTTGCTACCAAGTCATATTTTTCACATCCTCTAGATGAGAAATCAATTTTTTTGGACCCAAATACCTTACCTTATTTATCCTTGCTAAATCTCATCTTGCTTGACAAGGCCCATCAGTCTAATCCTCTGATACGATTTAAGTCCCTGAATCTGTCATCCCTTCCCTTGCCTACTAGATCCTCATCCAAGTCAGCAATAAAATGTTAAACATGTGTTTGAAATTTCCTTCCAGGTTGACCTAAATTCTAACACAGTTTCCTTGCACATACTGAGCTAAAAGAAATAACATTCATTTCCTGAGTGCCTAGTAAAAAATCAGTATCATTCCTCTGTCATTACACCACATATGGCCACACCACAAATTTTTACTGGGAACTTCTTTTTCTTAAAGTTTTTAAGCTGAAAAACATTTATTATAAGATACTCTGTACACTATAACGTAAGCTTCACGAGGTCAGGATTTCATCTCTTTTAACCTGTCAAAAATTCCTCAGTTCTGTTTATGTTTCCAAAGATCCTGTGCCTCACAGAAGCTGTAGTTATGACTGACAGCACATACTGGCTTGAACTGGAAGAATTCCCAAAGCAAAGGTTTCATCAGCCTCCTCTCTATGCCACTTAGGTAATATATGGAGATTGACTTTGTTGCTGTTGCTGAGAGTTCACAGTATTTCCCAATAAATGTCTTTCTCCTAACCAAAAATAAAGAAATAAATATAAATAAAGCCCTCAAAGAGCAAGAGAGAGAAAGAGACATGAAGGAAAGACTCTTTAAGAAAGTAGAAGAGAACACTTCCCAACTCATTTCATGATGCCAGCATTACCCTAATACCAAAGGTCAATAAAGGCAAAAGAAAACTACAGACCCATATCCCTCATGAGCACAGATGTAAAAATCCTCAGCAAAATATTAGCAAATTGAATCTAACAATATATAAAAAGGATATACATCTTGACCCAGTAGAGTTTGTACTGGGAATGAACAGCTGGTTCAACATTGGAAAACCAATCAACCTGATTCACCATATTAACAGACTAAAGAAGAAAAATCCACATGGTCATAGCCATAGGTGCGGATTTTAAAATTCAACATCCATTCATGATTAAAACTCTCACAAACTGTGAATTGAAGGGAGCTTCCTTAAACCTGATTGAGAGTATCTACAATAAACCTACAGCAAACATTATTGGAAGGGAAAAAATATATAACAGGTGATATGATTCTGTGTAGAAATTCAAAGGAATCTATAGATAAACAATTAGAATTAATGAGAGTTTAGCAAGATGGCTGATGTAAAATCAGTGTACAAAAATCAATATTTCTATTTACAGTAAAAAACGGAAAATAATTTTTAAATACCCTACATAACACCACCTGCAACACCATAATACTATAAAGTACTCTTGCAAAAAAAATAGAACTTAAGTTTGATTAGGCCTCTAGATCTAATTAGCTATTTGCAGGAAATGCAAAAGACAAAGAGACTTACTGAAGACACCACAGGGGTGAGATCAGAAACTATAGGACAAACAACCAGTTTCTGCAACAAATAATTTGCAAGAAGAAAAGGGAGAGAGGGAACCTATAGGTTTAAAGGGGATTTAAGAATATTTAAGGAAGAAATGATACAAACTTGGATTTTTTTCAAAGTAATCTTAGGGTGGGTAGGTTGTAAATAAAACAAAACAAGCCATGAGTTAATAAATGTTGAAGCTGGGTTGTAGATATTTGGGGTTCGTTACACTATTCTCTACTCTTGTATATGTTTGAATTTTTCAATATTACAAATTTTTTAAATACCATTTATAAGTTTTTTAATCAACAACCTAGGAACAAACCTAATAAAGTTGTTCAAGACATTTAGAGGATAAATTATAAAACTTACTGAGACATTAAAGAAGACCTAAATAAATGGAAAGACATACTGTATTCAGGGACTAGAAGACTCAATATTGTAAATATTGTAAAGATGTCTATTCCTCCCAGATTGATTCATAGATTGAATTCAATCCCAACCGTTTTGAAATTGACAAGCTAATTTTAAAGTTTTCAAGGAAATGCACAGAATCAGGAATAGTCAAGATGCTCTTCTAGAAGCATAAGGAGGGAGGCCTTGCCCCACTGATGCCAAGATTTATTAGAAAGCTGTAGTAGTTAAGACAATAAGGTATGGGCTTAGAGATGTTCAAATAGACCAATTGAAGAGAACCCCTGAACACTCTCATACATAAATGGTCACTAGTGAGGAATGAACAGACTTTTCCATAAGTTGTGCTGGGGCAATTGGTTATCCATTAGGGAAAAAATGAGAGAAATTGGACCCCTAACTTCACACCACATACAAAAATCAGTTCCAGTGTATTAAAAACCAAAACATGAAAGACAAAACTATAAACCCTTGAGAAGATAATATTGGAGAATATCTTTAGGGACAAGGAAGGATTTCCTAAAAAAGATATCAAAAATATTTCCCATAAAAGAAAACATTGCTAGATTTGACTAAATTAAAACTAATAAGTTGCATTCATCAAATACCATGAAAAGATTAAAAAGGCAAGCCACAGAGTGGAAGAAGATACCTCCAACACATATAACTAACAAAAGTGTAATATTCAGACCATATAAAGGATTCCTACAAATCAATGAGAAGAAGACAACTGGATAGGAAAGTGGTCAAAAGATTTGAACAGGCACTTTACAAAAGAGGAAATCCAATAGCCAATAGCATATGAAAAGGTGCTCAATCTCATTAATAATCAGTGAAATGCAAACTCAAAACACAGTGTTATTTCATTACTCATCCACCATGATGGCTAAAATTATAGACTGATAATAACAAGTGTTCACATGGAAGTGGAACAACAGGAACTCTATACTGCTGGTGGGAATGCAAATCAGTACAATCTCATTGGAAAACAACTCGTCATTTTCAATAGCATTGTATGGCATTCTGATAGTGATTTTGGATTCTCCTTATATGTGGCTCACTCGGGCACCCCACATTGGCCCACAAGCAAAGTCATTAAGTAAGCAAAACCTTCTGTGGTAATATCTTGAAAGGCAAGTACTTGCTTAGCCTAAACCTAAGAGAGCAACTTTTTTTATTATTATTATTTTAAATTTTTGGCTGCATTGGGTCTTCGTTGCTGCACACGGGCTTTCTCTAGTTGCGGCGAGTGGGGGCTACCCTTCGTTGTGGTGCGCGGGCTTCTCATTGCGGTGGCTTCTCTTGTTGCAGAGCGTGGGTTCTAGGCGTGTGGGCTTCAGTAGTTGTGGCACATGGGCTCAGTAGTTGTGGCTCGCGGGCTCTAGAATGCAGGCTCAGTAGTTGTGGCACAGGGGCTTAGTTGCTCTGCAGCATGTGGGATCTTACTGGACCAGGGCTCGAACCCCTGTCCCCTGCATTGGCAGGCAGATTCTTAACCACTGTGCCACCAGGGAAGTCCTAAGAGAGCAACTTTTTAACAACATTTATGTATATGTTACTAATGCTGAATACTGTAATTATGTAGAACAAAATTATGATTTTTCTGAATGTAATTCTAACTTTGGATTTAATCATAGTTTTTTTTTTTCCTACCTAGAATCTTCAAGTAGTAGTAGTATCATTTATTAGGCATCTACTGTGCCTGCCACTGTGTTAGGGATATTATTTACATTTTTTGTTATAATTCTTTACAGCAGCCATCCAAGAGGCTCCAAGAGATTAAGGAACTTGCCAATAGAATGCATCGCCTAAGAGCATGGGCTCTAGTGCCAGACTGTCCTCACCCTCCCACTTTATTAGCTGTGTGATTGGGACAAATTAATTAACCTCTCAGTCCTTTGATCCCCTCATCTGTAAAACAGTGACATGATTTCACGTGTTGTTAGAAAGATTAAATGAGTTAATATATGTAAATTTCCTAGAAAAGCACCTAACACTAAATTGATAAAAGCTAATAAGTGATAGAGCCAGGATTCAAATCAGACCTGTCTCAACTCAAAATCCCACACTCATTCCACTGTATTTCATGACTATATGTTTAGACTTCTCATCTGTGTTATCAATTAGTATATGTTCAAGTGATACAATGTTATTTTCATATAAGCCTGCATTTTTAAAACCTTTCTAGGAAATTGTCAAGGAGCAGCCTTTATCTGAATGATTTGAAACGTTTGTGAGGAGTTTGTTCACGCAGGTTCATGTAAACTCTTCAAACGACTGGTTTTCCTCTTTTATCAGCATAAAACTATACATTAGTTTTTTTCTTTTCTTTGTGTGCTAGGCGAGTCGCTTGCATTGCCATGGAGAAGACCAAACAGGAGCAGCAAGCCAGCTGTACTTGGTTTGGCAAGAAAAAGAAGCAGTACAAAGATAAATATTTGGCAAAGCACAATGCAGGTAGGGAAAAGTACGACTTACTGAGACCGGTTAAACATCTCAAAGACTGAAGTAGATGTAACATCTCAATTCCGTCTTCAGAGTTCTCTATCAAAAAAATTTCACCATATGAGATCATCAGCTTGCAAAAACTTTAAGAATCCCTTGCCTTCGATTATTATGTTGGTTATTTGCCAAATATTTTACAGAGCTATACTTTATAGGAAGAAAATGCTATTTGGAAACAGTACTCTCTGGAACTCAAAGAACCCAGTACATTAAGTCCTCCCCTGAGAAATGAGAGACTGAGAGTTTGCTGAATTGCCAGGATTCTTGCCTCCTTGCTGAGACTGGCCTTGAGCAAATACCCTCACTCCTGGCTCCTCTCTGGCCCTTGGACATGGCCCTGTGCCACATTTCTAAGGGCAAAGGTGCGCTCTTAACAGAGAGCTGTGCTGCAAATGGTTCAGTGATTGATCTGAAAGAGTGCAAATGACATTAGATAGATACTAACTTAATTTGGTCAGTTCCTGTCACTAGTCTTCTTCCTTCATGGTATTTCTTAGCCCCTAAAAGACCAAGAACATTATCTTGGCCTACCCTTCATGGTATGTTTGTCTATAATGGAAGCTTGCATTCAACTTAAGTCAAAATATTCACTCATTTGCTAAGAACTGAAATGAATACCAAAAAAAGCATGCTCTGTCATTGCAGTAGAATTCCCAGAAGACTCACAGGATGTAACTTAAGTTAACGAAAAGGCATGATGATGTAGCGTGGGATTTACTTATTTTCAATAACTTCTTAATATGACTCCTTTTATAAGGAACTTTTCTGAGGAAGTGCAAGCCCCAACATTGGCATTAGATTAGTTCCCAAGGTTTCAGAAATAACTCCAAACTTCAAACATATGGCAAAGAAAATCAAGTGAATGCAATCATGCACACCCAGTTTGACAGTATATTTCTGACAGATATGAAATGCATTTCCCTCTGTAGAACGTTATATTTTATTAGCATTCACTAGGAAAAATTATTTTGAAACTCTGAGTGATTCATTTCTTGATCAGAGAGTAAAAGTAAACATTTTGAAGTATTGTATAATGTGGAATGAATGTGAGTGACCACATGGCTTAATTTTAAATGGTTCAGTTAAATGCGGAAATCTTTCCCATCATGATAGCTACAGTGTGCCACATTTTTATTTCCAATAAAAGGTATCATTTCTGGTTATATACCACTACAGAGCACTAGTCTGATAGTGGCTATTTTTGTTTTATAAAGGGAAGAAATATTCAAAGTAGATTAGTTAAATATAATTAGTTAAAACTAATTGTAAATGCTCCAGTAGTACTATTTGAAGAAATTCACTGTAGTAGCAGCAGAATGTTGTTTAATATAAAATGTCAGTGGTTATTGCCAGGTCTCCATAACCACCTTTATTTCCATCAGCTTCTAACAGGCTCAAAAGGTCCATTGACATTACATATATATGTATAACCTTGTAATTTTTACAATGATTTTAAATGATATATAGATGGCATTAAAATTAATTTAAACGTAGAAAAGCAAAGAAATGGCCGATAAGGCTGTCAATTCATCCTTAGCTTTTTATATTCTACTGATGGAAGGCATGTAGACATGAGTATTCAATTTGCCAACACTCTTTAATTTAGCTCTGAGGAAAAATAAGAAGCCAGTTAATTGAAAAACTAGACTCTCTAAATTCTGACAAAGAGTCTGTTGAATCGTTCACTTGAGAATTTTGCCAGAGAATCAGCATCCTATCTGGTGGCCAGTGTTTTCCAGAGTTAACTTTTTCCATTCTTTGACCACCGGGGCACCACTGATCTTCCATTGTTCCTGTTCTCTCTGATTCATCACAAGTGGTGCTTGGTAGTCCTGCAAACGCACCTGTAAGCTTAATAGCCAGCCCAAGCTAGGACCAGAAGTTAGCACACCTGTGTATCCATGCACCTTTGGCAAACCACTTGGCTCCTGTGGGCCTCAAAACGAGGGAATTGGGTTAGTCAATAAAGGATATCTTTTCTAATTCTAAAGTTCAGTGGATCTCAGGTTATTTCATCACTGGGCCTGATAAATGGATATCATTTAATGAAGCCAAGTACTCATTTGCTGTCCCTTATCTTAAGCTTTAGCTCTGGTAAACATTGCCCATTATGTTTGAAGGCTATATCACCCTTGCTAGAGAAGGCAGGAACCTCATAGAAATGGAATAGAATTGCTTTTCCTCTGTCGTCTTTAAACACAACACCTCCTATCCAAAACCATGGATCTATCTAAGTTCTCGTAAACTTAAAACTAAGAGGAGACCCACCACTTCTTTGTTATCCACAGCATCTTCCTAAGCAGTGGTCTTCCGGGCCTCAGAGCCTTCCTCATGCTCACAGTTCCTTCTACATGTCAGTATTTGTCACTGCCTGAGAGCCTCCTTTGATAGAAAATCTGAGCTTTTTATAAGGTCCTTGCAGGGCCACTCAAGTTTCTGTACAGAACTTGTGTTTAGGCTCATTTGTGACTGTCTAGTCAGAATGTCATTGTTAGGATTCCCACCCACACAAAATCATCACTCATGAGATCTCCTATTAGTTTTTCTGGTCTGGAGAAGATGCCTGGCTTTTTCCCTGGACTTTCTAGAATATACTGCCTAGCATGTCCTTTCTGCCACCATCTCTTCAGCATTCTTCCCCATCACCAGTCAACTCTTGCATTTTGTTAATTATAAAGCCCAGAAGAACCATTTACCTACTGATTACCTTGCCTTTACAAGAGATGAAATTGTCAGGAAGGAAAGTCAAGTATTTTATCAGCTGTTCTGCTTTTAGCCATGATGAAAGTTTATCCTAATATGTGGCATTGCCTACATAAAGAATTGCTCTAAAAGAGAGAAACACATACTGTTGACCTCCATTGGGAAGGCAAATGCTTTGAGAACTTTGAAATACCATATTCTTTAATACCAAGAACTAGCCAAATGGGTTCATAGGCCACAAATCCAACTATATTTCTGAAAGGTGTTTTCTGACTTATTCAAAAGTCGATTGTAAAATACAGTGGGGGAATCGTCCCGTAGTCCTCAGTAAATTAAAATAAGGGCCATTGGGATTAACATATACACACTACTATATATAAAATAGATAACCAACAAGGACCTACTGTGCAGCACAGGGAACTACACTCAATATTTTGTAATAACCTATAAGGGAAAAGAATCTGAATCACTTTGCTGTACACCTACCTGAAACTAACACATTGTAAATCAACTGTACTTCAATTTTTTAAAAATGCAACTGATTTTTATACGTTGAAAAATAAGTAATTTTTAAAAAATAAGGGCATACGTTTTGTTTCCTGCTTCAAATCTTTGAGAATTCAGCAGCTATTGTTGACAAGATCCAAACCTTATCATTAAATTCTGAAGTTGTTTACATTTGTAGTAAAAATAAAGGATGAGAACTTTATCAATATCTAGAACTGATGGAAATGATAAAATACTAGAATTAATTATTTCCATTTATGTCACCAGGAAATTCTACATGTCTAGTTAAAGCAGAATTCTGTTCAAATTGTTGCCTACCTCTCACATTATATAGTGGCAGTCTATTAGCTGAATGTGACCCATAAATAAATTTTATTTTTCCCATATACACACGGTGTTTAAAATAATCTTAATTAGTTATCACATTTGAAAATCAAATATTTAACATAAAATCTGGGTTTCTGCCTTTCCTTGAAAGAACAGAGGATGTGGTAACATTAGGCCCACTTTACTCGGCCCAGTGTTACCGTGTACAATGGCTTATCTAAGTGGAGGTTTGTACAGTATTTGAAGATACTAGTATACTTTAAAGCTACTTTGAAGATAGCTTTTCCAACTGAGATATGGAATCAATGTTGTTAAAGGCTTATTTATGGAAAAGATTCTACTGGAGAACAGGTATCTGAATACTCAAAGGTGTCATGAACATTGAGTAGCTTACCAGGAAGTCAGGACAATATGCCAGACAGTATTTCTGAAGCCTTGGGAATAGATTTGATTATGGTGTGTGTAGCGTTTGCAGCAAATACATTTTCTGCAACGCATGAAAGACTTTTAGCCACATAAATTTGATGCAAAAAGTATTGTCATGCTTCTAGAAGAACTATACTCTTTGAGGCACTGAGATTCCTCAGCCCTAGGACTTCCAAAATCAATTTAAGATCAAGTTATTAATGTAAACCTTTTTTAAAACTCTTCATTGATTCATTTTCTTTTAATGTTAGAGCCCTGAGCAGTGGTATTTAAATATCCTGAGAAACCCCATTTACATACACACATACAAACACAGAGGATTTCTACAATACCATTCATAGGTGTGTTTAAATTATGTTTAATACCACAAATTAGTACTGTTGACTTTAAAAAGCTATTATTTTTGTTTTCTTTAATACAGAGAACTCTAAAGACGACAAAAAGTGGCCCATAATCTCACTGCCCTGTTGACATTTTTTTAATAGTAAAAGTAATAGGCACATGTGATTAGAAAAGATACAGAATGAAAAGCAAAAGGCTTCCACACCTACACTCCCTGAAGAAGGTTTCTTGTAACTATTCCCAGACAAAATTTGTATGCATATGCTAGTATATAAAACCCACTGGCTTTTATATAAGGATATTGTTGAATTTTTATTAAAATGAGTTTGTTTCTTAATGTGATTTATTTGCCTCATGTTTAGAATATTGCATGGTAAAGTTTCTTTTGTGCATATTATACTTTTATTTTACTAATATATTAAAAGCCATATTTCAATGACCCCTGTACATTTTTCATGCTGTCTTACTCCCAATGGCCTCTGTGCATGTAAGTAACCTGTTGAGTGACTGTGCCTCTTTGTTTTTGACGGTTTCCTTTCATTAAGTCCCTTTTTTTAAATCAGCAAACAAACAACTTAAAACCTTTAAAAGTTCAGTCTCTAAGTGTTCTCCTTATATTCTTTGTATGTCGTATTTTAAAATATCCTTTTTTATTGTTTCTCCACCCTATGACTACGTGATGATTTCATTTAGACCGGAGTACCCTCTTCATGCTACTCATATATGGTTAAGATACTGATGTGTAACATATCTGTTCATTTGTCATGTTGATTGTTGATATCTAACTCATTCTTATGTGTTTGAAAAAAATGACTTAATTCAGTAGGATTGGAGTCAGGGCTCTGTAGAGGGAAAGAGATGTGTATACCATTCAGAAAACTTGTGTCATCATCTTGCTCTTTTGTGAGATGCTTGATTATTTCTATATAATAAAATATATCAGCTTGTTGATGGACCTCTTTCATAAGCATACTTTTCTTGATGAAAATATCACTCAGAGGGCAATAGGTATAAAAAGCAATGCCGTAAGCTCTCCTGCTTTTATTTTTGCAACTCTTCGTCGCTCCATTACCACTGCAGCATGACTAGCTAGCTCCGCCACGCAGACAGCCTCATGTTCATTTTGATTTTCTGAATCTGCCATTCTAAACACAGAAAGCATTTTGTGGTTTTTAGCTGTTGCTAGAGAATATGCTTTTAAGTCTTTTAGTCAACGTTTATGCAATCAAGTTATCAAAAAAAATGCACAAATACCCATTAACATGCACTAACCCTTATTTTAACATTGTATTTCTTTTTTTTTAGTATTTTGGGAATGATACTTTTGTTCGTTTGTTTCTGATCTGTTGCATTCCAGAGTATCCTATTTTGCATTTTAAGGTTCTTTGCTACTGGGAAGAACACAAATGTTAAGGACTGAGCTGATATTCAAAGCATTTGGCCATATTGTTTCAGGGAGTAGAAGCTTCTCTTAATGATTGACTGAAGCATCTCAGATTCCTCTATTACACCACGGAATCAATTTCATGGAATTTATTTCAACCCCTCTAAAATCCAGAGCTTATTCAATATTCTTTTAAAAAAGAAATTTCAGTGTGTGCCTGACAACATATGGGTAGTACCACACAGAAAAATATTCTGGGAAACATAGACACGTGATTTTAGCCTTCTTGTGAGAATTTTCAAATGTGTTGTGAGAATTGGACTACCTTAAACTTCAACAGGAACGGTCATCCTCTTGGGAAAGTTTTTGTAATAGTTTTGTGAAGAGGCAGGTTTCCAAAAAACATTTTTTAAAGCGTTTCTTCTCAGTCTGTAATGATTAGAGAACTCCCCTTTTGCAAAAGTTTCCAAGCTCAGACTCTGCTTCATGCTTCCTCCCATTCTGTCCATCCTAACTTACTTACCACACACAAGCTGACAAAGTTTGGGGCCCAGGGAAGCATGTTCCCCTACTTACATACCCAAGACTTTCCATTGAATGGATAGCTGGGTTACAATAAAACTTGTGAGATGCTCATTTCCAAAGCGTGTGAAATCATAGTTGCAAAACTTGACTTTGAAGGAAATCTAGCATGCTACCTTCAGCAACTCTGTTGAAAGAAAGAACCATCAAGTTAAAGACCAGCTGTCCATGCATCTCTCATCCATCCCTAGAAATAATCTAGCTGGCCTCTTTCTTGGTTAACTTTAGTTGCATTCATGTTGGTCGCTGTCTGCAGACTTTTTCTTTTTAGTATTGCTGATTTCTTAGAATTGCAAAAATATGAACAGCATGTTGTTTTGAATGAATTCATATGATTTGTTGGATACTGCATGAAAAGATATGCAGTATCTTTTACAACTGGACTTTTATGCATGTGCTCAACATATCTTTGGATGACCCTGGTTCTAAAGTGCATTTTCATGGGCTTAAAAATGAAATTTTCTCCCAAAAGGTTATATGACTTAAATTACATGTAAGCTGTATATTGTAAGTTGGATCCATATTTTTTAAGACATGGCTTTACTATAATTTTGGTTTTGCCAGTAAAATTATAATTTACATACATGAAATATTCCTTCTGTAAATTTATATTCTTTCTAAATCTTTGCATTTTAGTGTTTGATCAATTAGATCTTGTTACATATGAAGAAGTAGTAAAACTGACAGCATTCAAAAGGAAAACACTAGTCTTGTTAGGTAAGTTTAACTGCATAAGTGGCTTTCTTATTTTCATCTTCAAAACAGTTTATGAATATTATTAACAATTATCAATTTTTAACTTCCTTTTTAAAAAATGACATAGGTGCGCATGGTGTTGGGAGAAGACACATAAAAAACACCCTCATCACAAAGCACCCAGACCGGTTTGCGTACCCTATTCCACGTAAGCAATGTTTCACTCTCCTTTAAGTATATTTTTCCTAGTACTTTTCTAATCTTGTAATTTACATATTTTTTCTGATTACATAAGTAATAACTGTTCATTATAGGAAATTTGGAAAGTCCAGAAAAGAACAAAGAAGAAAATGAGTTAACAGTAAATCCCAACCTCACTCTTAATATTTTATTGTATACCCTTCCAGGCTTCTCTTGGTGCAAACACGTCGTGTGTGTGTGTGTGTGTGTGTGTGTGTGTGTGTGTGTGTGTGTGTGTGTGTGTGTGTGTGTGTGTGTGTTTATCATTGTTGTCGTTTAACAAGACTGAGCTCGTTCAGTCTATTTGTAACCTAATTTTTCCAACAATATGCCATAAATGTTACCCAGATGAATTATTCTTCAGAAAAATAGGTTTTAATGATAGTATAATTTTCTTTGATATAACAATATTTTCCTTAATCTGTACCTAAATTCTTGACTTTTATCACTTTTAAAACCCAATGTGCTATCCATTGTTTATTGTAAAGAATTTTAAATCTGTAATATTTTTATTCCCCTTATTTTCTATATCTTATCCTTAACCTCTTGTCCTCTTTGTTTCCTCAACTACAAAATGAAGTGATTCCAGGAAAATAAAGAGGATTTGAGATCATATGAACACTTAGCAGATACTGGATAGATAATAGCCATCTTGCTACCATCATTTTATTTTATTTTTTATTATTATTATTATTATTCTAAAGTTTAAAATTTGAATCCCAAAAGCTTTTTAGCAGTTAGAGCTTTGTTCGGGGTGGGAAGAGCTAAAGGAGAATGATTTTTAAGAGCAACAGGAGAGTGAATTCCCTGGCGGTCCAGTGGTTAGGACTCTGCGCTTTCAACTGCCGAGGGCCCGGGTTCAATCACTGGTCGGGAAAAAGAGCAATAGGAAAAAATGGGAAGATTGGCTCCATCCTGTGGGGCCTTCCAATGCCATGTCAGCACCATTTACTGTTTTCTCTACATCCCAGAGAGCTGTGAGGCTTCATAAGGCCACTCTCATCCCAGAACCCTGTCTGATTTACTCAAAAAAGAAATTCATCAAATATTCTTTCAGTTGGTACCACTGGAGTTTTCTAGTAAAACGCTTTAAAATGTTCTTTTAATTCTCCTTATGACTAGATCATGAATACAGCAAGCTTCACTAACATTTAGTTTCTTCTTGATCACATAAGCAATTGAACTTCCATGTTATTAAATGGCCAATTAACTAGCTTGGTTTTAAAGTGTGTTATTGCTGACCCCAGTCATGTCTACTTGCTGTAATATTTGACCCTGGGTGTATACATAGCATATGTTTACCTACCGAAATGACTGAAGATAGGACAGCATCAACATAGTATGCTGTTTCTTCAGCTTTTCATGTGCCTGGAGAAAGGGTTCTTCTTTAAAACATCCACATTTTGATGTCCATGAGCACTTGGCAGTTCTACAGTCTAGTTGGGGCAGGAGAGGGGAAACTCCCCCTGGGTTTGGACTCATGTACAACAAAGAATAGCATGAATTTGTTCTTGCTCAAAAAAGGAAAGAAGCAAAGGGAGAAAGAAAACTAAAACTGCTGTTCCTGGCTTGTCTAGAAAAACATTTCCTAAAGTGTGTTTTGCAGAATCCTGGTCCTATTAGTATCCCACAGAACTAGGACTTATTGGCAGATATTTTAGTATACACTCGCTTAGGTCAGGGGTCAGCAAACCTTTTCTGTAAAGGACTAAACAGCAAATACTTGAGGATTTGAAGGCCATATGGTCTCTGACACAACTGCTCAACTCTGCCATTGTGAAAGCAGCCACAGACAATATGTAAACAAATGAGCATGGCTCTTTTCCAATAAAACTTTATTTACAAGAACAGACAGTGGGCCGTGTTTGGCCTACAGGCCCTAGTTTGCCAATTCCTGCTTTAGGTCTTTCCTAACTATTATGGCCATATCTGGCTATGGTCATTATATTTTCAATATGGTATCCCTTCTGCTGTATCCTGACATTCTCCTTTTGCATGATGCTGTATACCAGCACTGTTCAATAGAACGTTCTCTCATAAATGACAGCATTAGATATCTGCACTGTCCAGTACAGTAGCCATTAGCCACATGTGGGTACTGAACCCCTGAAATGTGGCTAGTGAGACTGAGGAACTGAATTTTTAATTTTGTTTAATTTTAATTTACTTAAATTTAAATAACCGTATGTGGTTTTCCATTTTTTTTAATTCTTCTTGTTTCCTTCTCTTAAGACCTAACTGCATTAAGGCATAGAGTGAGTTATGTTAACCCTGGGTCATTTAGTGTCTTTCCCCTGTGGTGACCCATGAAGGGATGAAATAGATCTCACCTAAACACAGGAAGATCCACCAAACCAAACAACTAACCAACTACTGTGGTCCGATGTCACATAAACAAATACGACTTCTAGAATTTAGTTCTACAAAGCTACTGGGGGTGGGAACAGGGCATGAGATATACTACAGAATCTATAGCTTTTAAGAGGAGATTGAGTCTGGGTAGGTCCATTGGGAGCATCAGCTCATAAGCTCAGCCTTTTAAACCTCTCCTGACATGTAACTTTGCAGACACCACCAGACCTCCAAAGAAAGATGAAGAAAATGGAAAGAATTATTACTTTGTATCTCATGACCAAATGATGCAAGACATCTCTAATAACGAGTACCTGGAGTATGGCAGCCACGAGGATGCAATGTACGGGACAAAACTGGAGACCATCCGGAAGATCCATGAGCAAGGGCTGATCGCAATACTGGACGTGGAGCCTCAGGTAATGCCTAGCCAACCCTGGCACCCTGTCGTCCTGCCTGCATGCTAAGCTCAGGTTCTGAAATGAAAAATGGCATCAGAACATCACAGGTCACATAATAATTTAATAGTAAGCTACAGGAAAGTATCGGCAATGAAGGCACCATGAGTTAACCGTCTAGAATGCAAGCTGACTAATCGTTGCACTCAGGGCACACACAGTGTATTTAAGAAGTAGAGACTGTTCTCTTATGAGATTCGGTATACTCAGAAGCTCAATAAAGTGCCCAGTCGGGTCTGTGCCTGCCAGAAATCCTACAGGAGTCTGACTCAGGATGAGACTCTGGCGCTTTAACACAGCAGCCACCTTTCCTCTCTTGGTACAGCTCACGCTAGACCATCAGAGTCTCTGCCAGCATCTTACGTTAATCGCCAGCAAGAAATTCTGATCCTGGGGCCTGGGTCCGAAATACAGCACCAGCTTTATGAATGCAAGCATGAGCGAGCCCCGGGGGATGCCAGGCAGAGCAGGGATAGAGACCCGTGGTGGTTCTTAGCCTCTGCCATATCTTTACTGAGGGACAATGCCTGGCCCTGAGCTAAAACTAGGAGGCATATGGAGAACTTGGAGAGGAGTCAGAGCTAGACGCAGAGACGATTAGATGATCTGCAGATACGTCCTACACTAGAAGCAATAGAAATTGTTAAACTTGAAAAGGAGAAAGCCAAAGGCCTTACATCAAAAATGCTAACAAGCTATTTTTCATCTCTGAGGACAACCTAAGAAGAAGTGGGACTCAAAGCCCAGTAGGAAGGATTTGGGAGTTGTAGACATCAGGGCAGGTTACCAGAGAGGCTTGTGGATGCCCGTGTGACTCCCAGGCCTCCCGTTTCTAAGACCAACCTGTACCAAAAATCCCTTATCACTTACAAATAGAATCAGTATACCACCTGCTGAAATGGTAGACCAGCTCCCCTCAAGCAGGCTCCATTTCATCAGGGGGCCTACCTGGCTACCCCAGGCAGGGAAGATCCCTGTTCAAGGGCCACTGTATGAAACTTGGTCTCCTAGCCATCCCCGAAGGGAGGATGGAACCGGCTTAGCCAGGGTCTGTGTGACTTGGGGCCTGATGGCTCAGTTACTTGGCTCCAAGATCCTAACATCAGGGCCAGTGGCTTCACCCATTTCCATGTCACAGCACCTGATGGGGTTCTTGAACTTGGAATCTGGTTAAGGGGCTGGGGAGGAAAGCAACATTAGGGTGAACACTATACAGTTTACTTAACAATGAACCTGGATCTTTATAGAACTAAATATATGATGTGTAATGCAGACTGATTTTTGTTTAACTACTAATCCCTCCTTACTAGGGACTGGAAAAATCTTCTGGCCAGGGGTGGCTAGAGGAAAAGTCTCAACCCTGGTCCTGGTCTTCGACATCCTCTCCTTGGGTTCCACACTGGTCTTCACCTGAACGTCGTTTTCTGCTGGTAGCAATGTCTCTAGCAGTATGCTGGCTGCGGGGCTCCTCAGACCCCCTCTGCATTACCTCAGTCCACTTTCCAGGGCTTTCTGCCTCACCTGCTGCCGCCACCACCGCCGCTATTGCTGCTGCTGCCCCACTCCTGGCGTCCAGCTCTCCCCATGCCCAGCCCAGCCCAGCCCAGCCATGCACTGCTCTGCACTGCTGAGCGGGAGATACTTCTCTCAGCCTTATCAGGCTGCCCGCAGCAGTCACTTTCACGTGTGGCACTGGGCACCAGAACACCCCTCGGCCCGGCCTGGGCGTTTTCCCTGCTCCCTGTCTGCTGGAGGGCTCACTGCATTCTTCTCGCCTGCTTCCTCTGTCCCCTCCTCAGAACCGTGATCTCTTGGGAGAGATAGGGATCCTGTTCTCTGCCTGAGCCTCTTAGGGCCCGTGGCCCTGGGGTCAGGTATCACCCGGATCCTGCTCCTCTAGTTGGTCTGCTTGACCACTCTGGTCCCAGGCTCTCCTGCCCAGTGCTCCCAGGCCTAGTCCTGCTCTCACACCGGCCACTGCATCCAGCGGTCCAGCTGCAGGTGCCCACAGGCTCTGCACCGCTTGGGCTTCTCTGCCTTCGGCCCACTCTCTCCCCAGGCTGGACAAGGCCCACACCCTGCCTTCAAGATGCCCGTGGCCATGACCAACTTGCTGTCAGGCAGGTCCTCGTTGCTCCAGGGAGGCTCTCTCCTTAGGACCTTTTCCCACCCTGGCCCATTTGATTACCTGCTGTACTGTACCTCAGACAGTTTGCCTCAACCAGCGTGTATTAAGTACTTGCTATATTCTAAGCATTGTGACATGAGCTAAGAATACAAATAAGGCAAGCTGGTAAGGGTGAAATTCCTTCCTCAGTGTTCATCAAAAACTGTCTATGACAGAAGTGCCATGTGGCTTTTTTTGGCTGTGTTGGGTCTTCATTTCTGTGCAAGGGCTTTCTCTAGTTGCGGCGAGCGGGGGGCCACTCTTCATCGCGGTGCACGGGCCTTTCACTGTCGCGGCCTCTCTTGTTGCGGGGCACAGGCTCCAGACGCACAGGCTCAGTAGTTGTGGCTCACGGGCCCAGTTGCTCCGCGGCATGTGGGATCTTCCCAGGCCAGGGCTCGAACCCGTGTCCCCTGCATTGGCAGGCAGATTCTCAACCACTGTGCCACCGGGGGAGCCCCCCATGTGGCATTTTTAAAAACCCTCCCATTGCTGACACCACTCCCACTCTGTGTGGACCATAGAAAGCCCCACCTAACACTGGGGTTCAGCTCATTTTTTTTTTTTTTTAGGCACCAAAATTTTTATTAACCCACCTTCTTGCTCTCTTTTGACATTATAAACCAAATTAATCTCTTTTTGACCCAGAGTTGTGATGGGAACCATCAAGTTACAATGTGCTTTTACGTTTCTTTGGCCCCTCTCAACCTCTGGCTATCACTTCTCTCGTCCTTTCTTGGCTATCCCTTAACAATATATTCCAACCCCTGTGAAATAGGGACTAAAAGTACCAACCTCATGGTTCTGAGGTTTAAGAGAATGCCAAGCACTAAGCCGGGCTCTCAGGAGCATTCAGTCGCCGGCAGTTCCTCCACACCCTTTGACATAGCTCCTTCTCATCTCTCATGGGCTGAGGAACCGACGAGCCTGTAAACCAAGAACATGGGTAGAAAGTCCATAGGCCAAGTGAGGGCCTGGATGGTAAAGTGCGTGGGCTTTGTGATTACCACCGCCAACTTCCAGCCTAAGGAAGGACTGACTGAGTGAGCAGTTCCAAAACCCCTGAGCTCATGGTTCCCTGTGGGTAACTCCCATGTACCTCTATCATGACCAGGGCTTGAGGAGGGACTTCTCAATTCCCCCTGCCACACTTGGAACAGTATGAGGGATGCAGCAGAGGCCAAAGACTAAGTGACTAGCCCCAGGGAGTTGATGGGGAACATTATCAAACCAGTCTCAAAGGTGGTGCCATTTGTTCTTGGGGAGGAGAGGTGGGACCCAGGCAAGGACAGCAGCTGGAAGGCAAAGGGCAGGCCTGGTTCTCAATAGCGGTAGTGATCAGGTTTGAAGGGGCCATCACGGGACATGCCCAGGTACTGGGCCTGCTTCTCAGTCAGCTTCACATTCAGCTTGCCCAGGTGGGCTTCAGCCACTGCTTCATCCAACTTCTTGGGCAGAAAGTGGACCCCGACAGGGTACTTGTCTGGGTGGGTCCACAGCTCAATCTGCGCCAGCACCTGGTTGGTGAAGGAGTTGCTCATCACGAAGCTGGGGTGGCCCATGGCGCAGCCCAGGTTGACCAGCCGGCCCTCGGCCAGAAGGATGATGCAGTGCCCGTTCTTCAACAAGTAGCGGTCCACCTGGGGCTTGGTATTCACCTTCTCCACAGCGTTCTCATTCAGCCACTTGACATCAGTCTCCACGTCAAAGTGTCCGATGTTCCACACAATGGCGTCATCTTTCATCTGTTCAAAGTGCCGGCCGAGGATGACGTCGATACAGCCCGTGGTGGTGACAAAGATGTTGCCCTCCTGACAGGCCTCATCCATGATGGTCACGTCATAGCCCTCCATGGCAGCCTGAAGCGCGTTGATGGGGTCAGTCTCCGTGATGATGACGCGGGCCCATCTTATACAGGTTGTAGACCCCCGTTGTGGTCTCTCCGGAGATGCATCGGATGCCTGACAAGGAGCTGTGGGTACTTGGTGTGGATGAGGTTGGTGAGGTCACCACCATCGTCCAGAATCATGTTGAGGGGCCCGTCCTTGAAGTACAGCGTCTGCTCAGTGCACCAGATACTCCTCGTCCGTTTCACCCTTCCAGGCGTACACTGGAATGCCAGCCTTGGCAGTGGCAGCTGCTGCATGGTCCTGGGTGGAGAAGATACTGCAGCTGGACCACCGCACCTCAGCACCCAGGGCAACGAGGGTCCCAATGAGGACAGCTGTCTCCACGGTCATGTGCAGGCAGCCGGCAGTGAGGGCGCCCTTCAGTGGTTTGGAGGCCGAGTACATCTCCCACGTGCACGTCAGGCCCGGCATCTCATTCTCTGCAAGGTCCAGGGCCTTGCATCCCCAGGCGGCCAGGCTGATGTCAGCGACTTTGTAAGGCAGCTTGTCTGACGTGCTGGCGGCATTTCCGCACAGAGTGATGGACACGGGCGAAGGGGGCCGAGCCTCAGGCTGGGGATAGGCGCGGGGCGGGTGGCGCCGGGCAGGGCCAGCTCATTTAGTTTGTGCCGTCTTAATTAATTTTAGATAGTTGAGTCCAAACCAAACACATGTCTAATTATACTGTATAAGATGTTGTGGTTCGACTTTAAACCTAAGGGACTATCCTAAAGACTTAAACCAGAAGAAAATGAGTAACCTGGCTTCTTTTAAAATAATGAGAATAGACTGTGTTCCTCTATTTTGCCAAGCATTAGTACTCCTTACCTAATCCTTGTAACACCGAGCTAGAGACATCAGTATCTACTTTTGAGGATGAAGAAACCAAGGCTTAACGTAATTTT